TACATACATACATATGTTTATATCTGCACCTCCGGCGAACTTTCTCCTCTTAAGCTAAGCACTCAGCTCTACACACATGGGACATCCGGAGATCTGCAGCATCTCTCCAAAGCCTGGCTGGGATCAAACTCCACGACATACCACGCAGCTGCCTGGCGGCAGTTTGGCCGAGTTCTCGGGTTTAGGGTTTAGGGTTTAGGAAGGTGCATCGCTCTGCAATCACGGCCTCGCCCTGCTTGCTGAAGGCATGGCGCCTTGCTGACACCAGGGCGTCGGTTTAGGGTCCAGGGCTTCTTCGGGGCGAAGATAACCTGCATGTGGGCGCACCAATGTGGAACGAAGCCGTTGACGACGAAGAGGGAATCGTTCTGGGTGCTCACCTTCCCGACATAGAGCGATTGTGCCTGGGCGCAACAGGCTGGAACTGCTGACTTGGTGTGGTTTCGTGGGGTTGCCAGGAGGATGCTGAGATGGCCTTGCAGAACTTAAGCTTCAGCTTTGCAGCCTTTTCATGCAATTGAGATCGCATGTTCGGAGAGTTGTTTACAACACCTCCGCACTTGGACCGTGGGATCTGGAGAGTGACTCTGCGGGAGGCATTTCTCCACGCCCTCACTTCTCGCCGAAGAAGAAGTAGGGGAGGAAGTTCTGCACGTACTCGTCGAACTCATCCTCCGGCGGCAGCAGAACGGACTGGTTGTCGAGGAGCAACAGCAGCAAGTAGAACAGGAAAAGCAGGACGATGCCAGTCACCATGACCTTTCTTTTCCAAAATGTGGAGTCGAAAGCAACGTCTTACCCGCCGTGCAAGACTACACCGGCAACTGTAACAAGACTTCAAATGAAAGGCATGGTGATTGCGAAGCAAGCTGCCAGGACGGTCGGGATGCTGTCCTCCTTCGCAACGACGCCTGCCTCCGCATTCAGGGGCTTCAGCAAGTCCGACAGGCCAGTGCGGATGCCGTAACCCTCCGGCAGGGGATCGCGCTCGCCATAGGGTGCCGTCCGCTTGGCGTTGCCCACGGGGTAGACGCCGTTCTCAGCAGGCATGTCCGTTTCGTACTTTACCGCCGCAGCTGCAGCCACATTGACCTCGCGATCCGCGACGGGCGAGTTCACAAAGCTCAGCTGGCTGCTTAGAGCCCACAGGCACGTGCCGAAGGCGATCAAAGAGAACCTTTGATAGGGGCATGCAACACACCGCTATACTGCTGGCAAGATCTCACACATGTGCTCAAACAGGATCTGGCAATCTGTGGACCGTACGTTCCACGTGCCATGGCGGGGATCAAGGCGGTATTCGACACGGCCCAAGCTTGACAAAAAACCTTCAATGCGACGGCGGAAGAGAAAGTTTTTGCACCTGGCTGCCAATCAGTGCTTTCTAGGCGCAAAGGGGCACAAAGGGGGCACAGAGACATGCTGGGTCGTCGCTATTTTCTGCTATGTGATGCCATGCATCAGCTCTCCGGGTGATTGACTCGGGACACGAGACTGTTCTCTTAAATGCCGATGCAAGAAGAGACTTTTTCACTTCTCACCGAAGAAGAAGTAGGGGAGGAAGTTCTGCACGTACTCGTCGAACTCATCCTCCGGCGGCAGCAGAACGGACTGGTTGTCGAGGAGCAACAGCAGCAAGTAGAACAGGAAAAGCAGGACGATGCCAGTCACCATGACCTTTCTTTTCCAAAATGTGTAGTCGAAAGCAACGTCTTACCCGCCGTGCAAGACTACACCGGCAACTGAAACAAGACTTCAAATGAAAGGCATGGTGATTGCGAAGCAAGCTGCCAAGACGGTCGGGATGCTGTCCTCCTTCGCAACGACGCCTGCCTCCGCATTCAGGGGCTTCAGCAAGTCCGACAGGCCAGTGCGGATGCCGTAACCCTCCGGCAGGGGGTCGCGCTCGCCATAGGGCGCCGTCCGCTTGGCGTTGCCCACGGGGTAGACGCCGTTCTCAGCAGGCATGTCCGTTTCGTACTTCACTGCCGCAGCTGCGGCCACATTGACCTCGCGATTCGCGACGGGCGAGCTCACAAAGCACTGGCACACGGCCCATGTGCTCAGGCAACCAACGACCACAGCGACGAAGGACCTGCACAATTCACGGAAACCCATCTCTACGAGCGAGAATCCCGTCAGTCCAAGCAATCATTGCCATGAGCCACAACTTCCGCTGCACAGATCGTGCGTTCTGACTCAGCGCCCCGCGAGCTGCGCGCCATCTGCAAGATCAGGGTGCAATGCTTCGGGGAATCTGCCTGCGTCTTGTTCCACCCCCGCTGTAAGCCAAGAGCAACGCGGGATCGGGAGCGAGGTGCCAGAAGACCGCGGAAGGCTCCGAAACCTTATAAACTCTAACTCCGCTTGGGGCAAACTGGCCCGGGACTCCTGGAAAGTGAGTGCTCAGAGCTGTCCCTACCCTAGCCTCATAGATTTCGGACGTCTCTCATAAGCACCGGAGCAAAAGAACATCCAGGAGCTCTAGGCACATCAAGTTTGAGGAGCGTCGAGGCTTTGAGACTTTGGAGTGTTGGATCTAGGCCTTGCAGCTTTCCTTCACAGGGCAGCCCCTTCTCCCGCTCTGTGTCTCTCTCACATGCAGGGCGTCCACATGTGGCAGGCGAGTCCCACAAGTCTGTTCGGGTCACAACGGCAATATCGGTGGCTTTTTAACGTCTACCTAGGTCTGGCATGTGGCCTGAGGCGCTACAATGCAGATGCTGCCCGTGAGCATGAGGAGGATTAACTGGGTGCACTGGATTGGGCTGTGTGCCAGAGTGATTGTGCGGGAGACATTTCTCCACTTCACTTCTCGCCGAAGAAGAAGTAGGGGAGGAAGTTCTGCACGTACTCGTCGAACTCATCCTCCGGCGGCAGCAGAACGGACTGGTTGTCGAGTAGCAACAGCAGCAAGTAGAACAGGAAAAGCAGGACGATGCCAGTCACCATGACCTTTCTTTTCCAAAATGTGCAGTCGAAAGCAACGTCTTACCCGCCGTGCAAGACTACACCGGCAACTGTAACAAGACTTCAAATGAAAGGCATGGTGATTGCGAAGCAAGCTGCCAAGACGGTCGGGATGCTGTCCTCCTTCGCAACAACGCCTGCCTCCGCATTCAGGGGCTTCAGCAAGTCCGACAGGCCAGTGCGGATGCCGTAACCCTCCGGCAGGGGGTCGCGCTCGCCATAGGGTGCCGTCCGCTTGGCGTTGCCCACGGGGTAGACGCCGCTCTCAGCAGGCATGTCCGTTTCGTACTTCACCGCCGCAGCTGCAGCCACGTTGACCTCGCGATTCGCGACGGGCGAGTTCACAAAGCTCAGCTGGCTGCTCAGCGCGCACAGGCACATGCAGATGGCGAGCAAGGACAACCTTGGAACGGCCAAACGACGCTTGACAGCTATCTCTTCAGGGGTGAATGGCCCCAAATGCTCAGGTTGCAGCATGCCGCTGCCGTCACGAGCCATCGGGGAACTTTTGAAGCACTATCAGGCACCCTTGAAAAATCAAGCTGCATGAGTTCTGTATGACAACAGAATCCCAGCAAACACTGCAGATTCAAACAACCGTTGCTGACTGAAGCCCCACAGACCTCCCTCTTTGCACACGCTCAACAAAGCGCGGGCAGGACGATTGATCGGGGCATTCTAGGATTGGTCCACGAACACTCGTGAGCGTAAAATGCTGTTCAAAAAGCTGCAATGCAGCCCGTCGTGCTGCCACAAAGCAAGCATTGAACTGGGCATTAGGCTAGCCAGCTAATGAGGCAGCTATGTTTGTACAGAGGGCTGGAGGGAAGACAATGAAAGCATTCCCTGCTTACTTCTCGCCGAAGAAGAAGTAGGGGAGGAAGTTCTGCACGTACTCGTCGAACTCATCCTCCGGCGGCAGCAGAACGGACTGGTTGTCGAGGAGCAACAGCAGCAAGTAGAACAGGAAAAGCAGGACGATGCCAGTCACCATGACCTTTCTTTTCCAAAATGTGTAGTCGAAAACAACGTCTTACCGTCTTACCTGCTGTGCACAATTACACAGGCAACTGAAACAAGAATTCAAACGCAAGGCATGGTCATTGCGAAGCAAGCTGCCAAGACGGTCGGGATGCTGTCCTCCTTCGCAACAACGCCTGCCTCCGCATTCAGGGGCTTCAGCAAGTCCGACAGGCCAGTGCGGATGCCGTAACCCTCCGGCAGGGGGTCGCGCTCGCCATAGGGTGCCGTCCGCTTGGCGTTGCCCACGGGGTAGATGCCGTTCTCAGCAGGCATATCCGTTTCGTACTTCACCGCCGCAGCTGCAGCCACATTGATCTCGCGATTCGCGACGGGCGAGTTCACAAAGCTCAGCTGGCCCAGGAACAGCCAGACGCATGCGCTCGCAGCCAGCGCGAGGATCACGGACCTGAGCAAGGAGGAAAAGGAATGCCATCGCTGAAGCAGACTGAAGCAGCTTTGGCGTGAAACTTCGAGAGGCTTCAGAATCAGCTGAGACACTCAAACCCAGACAGAGGCGCATGCGACCGAAAGATGAGCGTTACGGGAGCTAAGTGGTCAGATTCTGAGACAGGCAGCACCAAGGCCCGTGCGATCGTGCCATGGTGAGGGTTTAGGCTTGCCTCGCAACCCAACAAAAACCGAAATGCTTCGGTATATACAAAAATATATATATATATATAGATAGGGTTTATTTATATATATATATATAGGGTTTATAGGGTGTTCGGCACAACGCAAAGTGAGGTGCTTCTCCAGGCGCCCGACAGAGAATCCTCGGGCTGAGAACGCGCACGGCAAGTGCCAGACAAGTCACGGCTCAACTTGCGCGTGCAATGCAGCTTGTTGTTTTTTCAAAAATGTCGGCTTGTGTGAGAGACTTAAAGGCATGCACAAGCACTCTCTCTGCGAGAGGTACTGTGCAGGAGGCTCCATTCATGCTTTCACTTCTCGCCGAAGAAGAAGTAGGGGAGGAAGTTCTGCACGTACTCGTCGAACTCATCCTCCGGCGGCAGCAGAACGGACTGGTTGTCGAGGAGCAACAGCAGCAAGTAGAACAGGAAAAGCAGGACGATGCCAGTCATCATGACCTTGCTTTTCCAAAATGTGTAGTCGAAAGCAACGTCTTACCCGCCGTGCAATATTACACCGGCACAACTGTAACAAGACTTCAAACGCAAGGCATGGTGATTGCGAAGCAAGCTGCCAAGACGGTCGGGATGCTGTCCTCCTTCGCAACAACGCCTGCCTCCGCATTCAGGGGCTTCAGCAAGTCCGACAGGCCAGTGCGGATGCCGTAACCCTCCGGCAGGGGGTCGCGCTCGCCATAGGGCGCCGTTCGCTTGGCGTTGCCCACGGGGTAGACGCCGTTCTCAGCAGGCATATCCGTTTCGTACTTCACCGCGGCAGCTGCAGCCACGTTGATCTCGCGATTCGCGACGGGCGAGTTCACAAAGCTCAGCTGGCCCAGGAACAGCCAGACGCATGCGCTCGCGGCCAGCGCGATGATCACGGACCTCTGGAGCTCGTTTTGGTCAGTGCGGTGTTTAGCTGACACATCTGCTGACTTTCTAAGCCTTCCGACCACCCAAGGGACCCACGGGCTCACTCACCCCGGTTCCCCGTGTGCTGCCCACAGCTGCCAGGGTAAGCTCGCCGCCCGGAGCAATAGAAATTAGCTGTGTTTAGTCCTATTAAGCTTTCAGACACCTCACTACCATATGCTCTTGGGCAGTCACGGGAACTGTGGAAAGCAAGAACTGCCCGCAACGGACGGCGCGAAATCACACGGAAGTGATGCACAGTTCGGGCTCATCGGCAAGGATTGTCCGAGGAAGTCTTCCAAGCATGCCACCCTCAAAAAGCTTTCTAGCGACTGCCCTTCCCAGTCCCAGGGAGCCCTGCACACACGTGGTGCCGTCACATCCCATCTCCGCGCAGCTACTGGGTGGCTGTTGTGGCACAGGACAGACCGGCAAGGCCGGTCAGATCTCGATCTCCGTCATCGGAGTGGTAGCAATACTCGTCATAATCATAGCAATACCAACCACATTATCCTAACAATACCGAAGATCATCATCTTCTTTATCTTCATCATCGTATCAACCATCATCATTCATCATCATCATCATCAATCCTTATCATCATGAGTGTCATCATCATCATCATCACCGTTATCATACCTTCTGGATAAGCTTCGGACCGTGCTGCCATGGCTCAAAGGAAGGAAAGGTGGAATGGGCCAGAAAAGCTCTCAGCCGATAACTATTGCAGGATTCCAAGGGTTACACGGGATACTGTAACAGATGCTACACTACAAGGGATGCTATCAGGGATACCACGAGGGATACTATGAGGAGTATTGTAAAAAATACTACGAGGCGTAGCAGAGGGAACCCGAAAAGGGGACCATACCACAGCACGCCGGCTGGTAATTCCATTTCAATTCATGTTCTGGCGAATGCTCCGAAGTCTTCATCTGCTGACATCGCTGATCGAAAGACGCAGTTCACACGCTGCGATCTTTGCAACATAGTATCCTGTAAAACAAACCAAACAGCAGCCCTTAACGTTTCCCTTGTAGTAGCACCTATTGTTTCCGCTACAGTAACCCGTGTAGTTACGCTTATAGTGTCCCATATCACTGATCCGAGACGAGAGCCAACTTCATGGAAGGACTGCTTTGCCACAGCGTGAACATCTCCTGCGAAGTCACGAACTTCAAAAGATGCAGCAAGCACAAAACTTTCAGGGTTCAGGGTTTAGGTGTCGTGGCTTTGCAGCCGGAAGCCGCATGGCAAGATGAGGCGACTAGGCAGTAGCTGCCTCAGTCGAAATGCCCAGCTTTGCGGCAGCAGCCTCACAAAAACCCGGCTGAACTGATCAGGCTTTGCATCAAACTGGAGAAACAAAGCAATAATGAGCAATACTGAGATACACTGTGCCTCGGCACCAAGCGGTGCAGCTGCGGTGAATGAAACACCTCCAGCTGGTGTGCACGGAATCCGATATCCAGAACTTGGCCTCTTGAAAGGGACCTGCACCCCGGCTCACAACAGCAGGGCGCTGTGGAGCCTTTAAGATTTAAGGGTTCCCTAAACCCTACGGACCCCACGCTCTCCGAAGGAGCGCGAGAACGGGGCTCCCACCGAAGGCGCTCTCAAAGCGGGCTGCCGCCTCAGCGGCAACCTGCGAGGAGCTTGCGGCTTTGTCTGCCAATGACATGGGGCAATCTGAAGAGGGTACTGTAAAGGTTACTTCCTAATTACATGGAATACTGGAAGGATTACAGCACCATAAGGGTACTATAAGGGATCAGATCCCAGTTCCCCCGCAAAGGTGCGCAATGCACGCGCAATCATGCGGGCCTTGAAGTCGTCAGGGATACCAGTCGCGAAGCGTGCCAGCTGCAGGTACTGCCAAGGAGTTGCGAGCGAAGCACTGCCCCGAGCATTTCAGAGGCTGCCCTTGCTCCTGCTTGTCGAAGAGATTCCTGTCAGCAATGTCCTGCCCCAGCACAGCAGACGGGAGCAAATGTCAGATCGTCATGACAGTGTGATGGCATCTCATGACTTGCCGGCCTTGGCAGCAACGATGCCCTTCTCGACGATGGAAATCTGCATCAAGCGCAACCAAGTTTCTAGTGAAGCAGATCAAGACTGCCGTCGCGAGAGCTGGTCACTAGACATGCCGTGAGGTCTGAATGCCTCTCCGTTGCTGCAACGATGCGCTCTCCTTTTGCTGGGCTCTGCGCGTGTGCAATCAGGGTGGACCCGGAAAACCACGGCCCACCGCAGCTGTGAAAGCTTCCAGAGCCTACGACAGGACAAAGGCGATCGCCTCGTTGCTCAGGCAGTCCAAGGCTCGAAGCAGGGCAACCACAGCCACGCCCACGCTTGGACGAGTGCACCTTTTACACCGAAAGCCCAGGGGCCCGCTTTCGGCCCCTAAGCCGCCGCTTTCGGAGTTGGCCCAGAAGCGCGCCGGAGCCGCTGCAAGAAGTCCTGCTCCAAGTCCTCGGGCCACCGAGGCGAGGCAGAGGAACAACCGGTTTAGGGCCCTTTAGGGCCATTTAGGGCATTTTTAGGGCCGTTGAGGGCCGTTTAGGGTTCAGAAGTCTTGGAATCTGCAGTCCAGAGGAATCGAAATCCAGCCGAGATCGCACTGAAACAGCACCTCATGTCCGGCTCGTATGGCATCCTCCAAGCCCTGAGGACAGGAGATTTCTTATTATAACGCTGCAACTTTACCCTCCTTTATGCCGGCCTCGTTGATCAGAATCTCCTGGAATTCAGCAGCCCGTCCTCTTGTCGCAGCAACTTCCAGCATTTCTAGCATTGCTCTCGAAAGACAGGCAATGCTTCAAGAGTGATGGAAACTAATACCGATCGGGAACGGCACTCGCACCGAATGCCCCCAAAGTATCTCATCCTTGCCCCGCTGCATAGACGAAGTAGACAGGGAGTAGATCCGCGAGATGAAGCACTGAAATGCGGAGCCCCCTGAACCCTAAACCCTAAAACCCTAAACCCTAAAACCCGAAACCCTAAAAGCCCTCAACCCTGGAACCCCCATACCCCAAACCCCAAAAGCCACCAAGTCGGAGTCTCCTTCTTCCCAGAAGCAGCGCGCCTTCCGCGGCCAGGCAAACGCGAGGCGGCCCAGCGGCCTCGGAGCTGGCTGCTCAGAGGCGCAAGGTTTCCTAGGATATCGTAGTACCCTAAACTAGGGCTAGGGTTTAGGCCCCTTAAGGTATAGGGCTTAGGCGGCTTAGGCCCTAAACCCTAAACCCTAAACCTTAAACCCCAAACCCTAAACCCTGGCCCTATAGCATGCACAGACCTTCCCAAAATCACGCACGTGACACCACGTGACCACACGGAGCAAGCCGGACCCCAGGCTCTCGCAGCCGCACGATCACCTCAAACCGGGGACCCCGGGAGATCCGCCAAAAAAGGGGACCCTGATTTAGGGAACTACCCATGGGTAGTTCTCTAAATTCGGGTCCCTTTCTAGGTCCCCAATATAGTACGGCACCCTTATAAAAAAGCGCCCTAAAAGGGACCCTGGTTTAGAGCACTACCCATGTAGAACCCTTATGGAATTCCTAAAGAAACCCTGATAACTGGGTGCAAGTGGGTGCAAGTGGAACGAAGAGTCTCCCGGGGGCCAATTGCAGGCAGGTCACCGCAGAGGTGGCCAGCACTCGGCAGGGGTGCTGTCGGTCTGCGCAAGGGCTGCAAGAGAGCTGGAAACCAAGTCTTTCAATTGCGGTGTGGGGATGCAAGGCTCGCATGGCTGCTCCCAGCCCCTTACCAAGTTCCGTGCACAAGCTGCGAAGCCCAGCACCTCCGAGCCAGACAGTCCTCCAGTCTCGCGAAGTAGTCAGCACCAGATGGTCCATACGTGGCGGTTTGCAGCAGGTCGGGGACCGGTTCCAGGCGAGAGGGCTGCTGTGAATCCTCGCGGGATTGGGATTTGTCCATATACTACACATATGTATGTACGAATACACACACACATACATATATATAAAGATATATAAAGACATACATACATACATACATACTGTGTATTTATATATATATACATACACACACACACACCTTATATTCATTATATATATGTATCTCTCTTCCCAAGGCTTTCCACGTGCCGGCGCCTCCCCGCGGTATAGGCACCCTGCCAAAGTTGCAGTCAGCCACTCTGAGGAGCAGAAAGCTGCAACCAGTTCAACTGCCCCCTCCAGAGACAGCGCGCCGAGCGGAAGTGTCTGGGCTAGCGACCTCACAGTCAGCAAACTGCAGACCACACTAAACCCTAAACCCTAAACCCTAGCTAAACCCTAAACCACAACAGTATCGCCATGGATCCAGGGGCCTCTTCCTTCCTTGCCATGCCCAGACAGTCATCCAACAAATCCAGGACAACCGGCGTCGCACAGAGCCACGCAGAGGATCTGAAGAGAAAGCCTGCTGGCCTCGCCAGGGTGTCAGGTGAAACTTCAAAGCCCTCCGAAGCCTCTGAGCCATGTACCGCATGCTGCTGCACACAGGCATGCAAAAAACAGAACTCACCTAATATCATAGCAAACTACAACATAGTAGAGTATAATGCAATATAGTATAGTAGAGTAGAATAGAGTATAGTATACTACAATGTAGTATACTATAATGCAATATAGCATAGTAGAGTAGACTATTGAGTTTAGTATGTTTCATACTTACTATACTCTATATTCTACTCTACTATACTATATTGTATCTTCAGCTATGAAAGAAGGCCTAGGCCTGGCCCATGGGCTGTCCGAGACTTTGGGACAATCCTTGGGCACTCCGGGCGACTGAGCCGGAGAACCACATCCGCAGCAGGCTTCATGGGTGACATTTAGGGTTTAGAGTTAAGGGTTTAGGGTTTAGGATTTAGGGTTTAGGGTTCAGTCGGGTTCAGGGTTCAGGGTTTAGGGTTTTAGGTCCCATCCCTGCTCCCTACCCTTGACGCAAGAGCAGCTGCGGCACTGAAAGCTGACAGAAGAGCTGCTATCAACCCATCTTCGAACAAAATGAACACTCTTCGTCTGTAGAATCGTCCCCCTAATCAAAGCGACTCCAGCATGGTCAGCCAACTCCAACCGCCTACTGCGTAATCTATGATAACATGCCATAGCCGTAGTATACCACAACCTACTATGATATGCGAGCATATACTATATTTTACGACAATATACCATCATGCTATAACTTCCTAGAATTTACTACAATGGAAGCATGGTAACCGCAGGTCAGGGCCCAACTTGCCCTGGAGTTCCCTGTCATGCCTTGTGCGTGGTGAAGAAGGATTGCACGAATCGCTGTGTATCCTGCTTCTCAAACCCTAAACCCTAAACCCTAAACCCCAAACCCTAAACCCTAAACCCTAAACCCCAAATCCTAAACCCGAAACCCCAAACCCTAAACCCTAAACCCCAAATCCGAAACCCGAAACCGTCAGATTCTCGGGGTTCAAGGTTTAGGGCTTTGGGGGCTTTGGGGGCTTCGGGCCTCTCAAGCGTTCAGGGCTTTTGGGGGGGCTTAAAAGGGGCTTCGGTTTAGGGTTTTAGGGTTTGTTTAGGTTTTTAGGGTTTAGGGTTTAGGGTTTAGGGCTTCAGGCTTCTGTTGTGGGGAGCTGGGAGCTTCAGGCTCCACTCTTCTTGTGTGTAGGGGGGCAGGGACTTGGCATCTGAGGATTAAGGCTTACCTATAGCCCCCATTGTAGTTCCTTTTTGGGAGTTACCTTTGGGATCCTTAATACAAAATTGGTTAAACTTAAAAAAGGAACTACAATGGAGACTGCAGGTAGAGTTTAGAGTTAAACCCTCGGGGTTCAGGATCTAAGGATTGGGGTTTGGGTTGTAGATGCTCGCTTCTACCAGACACGACCGGAAAGTACGACAGCAGACACGTTTGCTGATGGTAGGCCGTCTTACTTACCGTAGAGCCTTAACTCTATAACCTCAGAACCCAAGAAACCCTCAATCCTAATCCCTAAGCTGAAGTCTTGCTGCAGACGTGTGTTTAAGCAGGGGGAAGGGGTGCGGGAGAGGGTTCAAGAATATGGGGTTTAGGGGTGTAGGGTTCGAAGGTTTACGGGTTTAGGGGTTGATGGGTTTGGGGCTTAGGGGTTTACGGGTTACGGTTTAGGGTGGCTCTTGTGGCTTTGTCTCTTCTTGAACACTTTGCCTTTCATGCCACAGGTGTTCGCATTATGGGATTTGCGCGAAGTGCAACGGATCTACACCTCCGGCCAAGGCAGTTACCAAAGTGGTCATGCGTGGTAAACCCTATCTTATCTGACCGTCCGGTCTCCCCCATGTACAACTCCCTACATGGGTAGTTCTCGACATCAGGTCCCGTTTAGGTCCTTTTATAAGGGTGCCGTACTATATCGGGGACCTAAATTGGGGACCCTACTTTAGAGAACTGCCCACGCGGTGCCGCTGCACGGCAGACTAGGCACAGAGCGACAGACCAAGGAGACTAATGCAAGAAAGATGCAGGGACGCACTGAAACTCCGACAGTCAGTATGACGCTTCTTGTCGCACCAGTCTGTAATCTTAAGGGGCAATATAACCCTTATATGCCCCTTATATAGTCTCATAAAGCCCCTATATAACCCCATGGGTCCCTTTAAGGGTCTCTCCTTTGGTCCCTTGATAATCAGCTTCCATGCAACCATTGGACCCATGGATCCATGCGAATCTGCTGGAGGAATCCCCCCGGCCTTGTTGAAAGACGACGGCTTGATGAGAACCAGGGCCTGTCTTCAACACCGCAAATACTCACAATTACCATGCTATCATATACCATAATGTACGATACTATAAGATACTATAAGACACTATCATATACTATAACATACTATAGCGTAGATCATCCCTGATGACTTGCAACTGGACTTTGACCCCCAAGGCCCCACAGTCCTGCCTGGTTCAACAGGTGGCCATCACGCTCGTTGTGCATAACCTGCCCAAGTATATTAGAGTATATTATAGTATATTCAAGTATGTTGTAGTATGTTATAGTATATTATAGCATGTTCTAGCATATTAGAGTATGTTATAGTATGTTATGACATGTTATAGCATGTTATAGTATGTTATAATCTATGATAGTGTGGTGCTGGATATTTTGAGGGCCACAGGCCAAGAGGCCTCCTGCACGCAGCTCCACACTTCGTCAAGCCCCTGCTCTGCATTGATCCTTCCATCATCTCTCCGTTTTTAGGGGCTTAGGGGTTTAGGGGCTTGGGGTTTTAGGGGTTTAGGGCTGTAGGGGTTTAAGGGGCTTAGGATGCCATCTGCTGCGAGGTCAACGAATTCATTCGCGTCCTGCGCATGGCTCCTTCCCTGCTGAACCTCTCGACCACGGGCAAAGACCTGCAACACAGCGCTAGAGGCTAGAGCAGCGTCCAGGCGACGGTTGATGATATAAATCCTGCATTACCCATAAGAAGGACTAGACCCCCAATTCCCACAGTTTAGGGGCCCTTAAGGTAATGCTAAGGGTTTATATCATCAACAACTATGAAATCCCAGCGCCGGGGCGGAGGCTCCTGCTGGTACGTAGCAAAGCGCTTCTTGATGGACTCCTCGCGGGCAAGGAAGGGAAAAGCCCAGGATCTACAGGGAAGAGGGCAGCAACGACCACAATCCATTATACATAGTCTACCATAGTATACTACGTATGGTATATTATGATATACCACAATATAGTATAATATGCTACAAAATACTTTAGCATTCTACACTATACTGTAATATGCTATAAATATACAACATTATACAAAAGTATACGAAAGTTTGTTGTAATATACTATAATACACTATAATGTAGATCATAGCCCGGCGCAAGGCCCAAGGCCCCCACGAGATTGTCGTCAGAGCGACCACTCGTCTTCCCCCTCTCAAGCAGGCGCGCCTGTCCCAATAGCATGCGAAACTTTTGGATTTAGGGTTTGGGGTTTCGGGTTTAGGGGAATATGATCGCCGAAGGCTCATGGGCATCATGGTCTGACACTGAAACACACACACACACACACACGCACACACACACACACACACACCAGCACAGCAGATGATATGCAAACCGGCCTCCATCACTGCTTCCGAGCAGTCGAAGAACATGCAAAACTTCACGTCTACCTCCAGGTGCGCTCTGCTTGGAGAGCTTTTGCTGAAAGCATGGTGCTGCACATCATGACTATGAAGCCAGAAATGCTGTAAGATGTATAGCACATGGGCCTATGGCAGAATTCACGGAAGCATACAACCCGGAAGAAGGCCCTTGCAACGCTGCCCAGCAAACGAACGAAGAGACGGGTTTAGCGTTGCGACAAGTGTTTCGCCGATAATACTTTAGTATACCACATTCTATTAACATGTATCTGTTATGTCATCCTATATTGCTACATGGTAATATCATGTTTTATCTGTTATATTAGATTATACTATGCAAGATTATATAGATGGCTCTTGCCTTTCCATGCTCAGCATCAGACGTGTAATGCAGGAACTGATTGAGAAACCCTCCCTGTAACACCAAAAAAATCGGACTCACGTACGGAACCCCAATCAAGATCCAGAGTGTCTTAGAAACCCTGGCCCTATGACCCCAAAAAGTTACAACATTAGGATTCATAGAAAGAACCCCCAATAAAGTCCCAGAGCTTCGTCGTCCAGCCCCACATCACTCAAGACAGGGTCACTTGGCATAGAAGGATGCGCAGAGAGAGGAAACCATGGGTCTCATGCTCATGCGGGTGAACTTCTGTCACTGGCACTGTCCGCAGTGTGGCTATGTGCACTCATCGTTACCGTCAGTACTGCCAGAGAGCTAATATCATCATCATCACCATCATCATCATGATCCCGACCCGGAGGAAGGATAAAGTTCGTGCTCCGCTGCCTTGGGACCGATCATATCGTTCCAGCCCTGCATGTTCTCTGCGCTCCTGCCAAACATGTGACACACTACGGAAAGCAGTTGCCAACACAAGCAACAGTGCTCCGGATCCTCGGAAAGCCATCGATGAGGTACTTGCCATCCTCCCATCCTCGTTCCTCCATGGCCTTCTGCAGTAGACGCACCACCTCGCCAGGATTCGCCAGACCTGCATACCTCGCCTGATGCACAGGCATCTACGACATCTGAGGCGTCTACAACGGATACGGGGACCAGTTTGCCCTCCTGCAGCGACTTCCAGTGCTGCGCAGAGCCCGTCATGCATCAGGCCAATCGCATTGCACACGCACAAGCGGCAGCTTGTCCTTGATGTGGCTCTCAATCAACTCGCCCAGCTCTGATCCGGGCCTCTTTCTCTCCTGCCAGTCAGGAAGAAAAACCTAGCACAGGGAAAACAAAAAAAAGGACCGCCCTGGACGCCGCCTCGCGCAGCAAGTCTCCAGCTGACAGATGCTGGAATCCGAAGTTCGCTGCGATGCGAGCACACCTCGTTTCAGAACGCCAGGCCCCGGCAGATCACAACGCGTGGCATTCAATCATGGGCAACCCTTGCCCTCGGCAGCAGACTGTGTTCCTTTGCCAGCCCCTGGTCCACCCAGCACAAAGATCACTTGAGGCCCAAAGTTCCTCTCGGCATGCCGCATGCAACGCTGCACGAAAAACCCTGCAAACAGGGTGAGTCTGGAATGAAACCCTAAACCTTAATAGTAGCGGCAATTAGTAGTAACCGTTGCACTGCCGCCCTAAACCCTAAACCCAAAACCCCTAAACCCTAACTGCTTTTGCACAGAAAGGTCGGTCCTTTGCACGTCGCTCCAGACCTGGAGCTGAAACGAATGCGCCCAAGGCAGGATGGAAGCAAACACCGCTGGCCTAAAAAGGACCGAAAAACACCAGCGGTTTAGGGTTTAGGGAGTTTAGGATTTAGGCCTCATTGTGAAGATTGTCATGAGTATCACAATCACTGCTGTTCGTGTCGTCCTCGGGTAGTCGCGGTCGTTCCGGCTCCGCTTCTGCTTAGACCCCCCCCCAGGATCTGTGGACGTGCTGCTTTGGTTTCCACCGTCGAAGGGATCTGATGACCCCTGAACCACCTTCGGCTTGGAGCTCTGAAAGCAGCCGCAGCCAGCAAAAAACAAGAAAAGGTCCAGTCTCCAATGTCCGCCCTCTCACCCACCTGTGGAGCATTTTTTTCATTCAGGGTGCCCTTGTCCTCTTTTCTTAAGGGTTGTTTTAGGTTTTAGGGTGAAAGCTTTGGGGCCAAATGGGGCCAAGGCCTTCTCGGAACTCTGCTCCGCGTCGATGCGACGGACCAAGCCCTGCCACCAACAGGATCAGACGTAGGGCTTAGGCTTAGGATTGAAGGTTTAAATAGTCAGAATACGGCGGTCCAACAGCGTGTACAACTTATATAAACTCATATAAATATACTGCAAACATGCTGCCTGAAGCCGGTAGCTCTCCAACACGGGCATCGACCTCAGCTGACATGGCGGCCTCAGAACTCCATAAGTCTGCAAAGTGCCACCCCTGCTTTCATGCACAGCCACTCCTGCTGGAAGGTGACGAAACGCTTTTTGATGGACCTTGGCATGAAATTTAAGCAGAATGGAAACGACATGGCTCACGAAGCACTGAACATAAACTCAGCCTCCTGCTCCAGATTGTCATCGGCCCTTCCACTTGTCTTCCCTCTTTCCACCAACCGCACCTGCAAGACAACATGGTTGCTGTCGGATCTGCCCCTAAACCCTAAACCCTAAACCCCAAAACCCTAAACCCTAAAGCTGACAAGAGCCCTCCAGGTTGTAGCCGCTAATCCTGTGGTGCACTGCATCTGGTCTCGAGGCTCCCCTTCAGAAAGGGCGGGAGCAAAAGCAAGCCCTTCTTGGGGCCTACACCCTGAACCCTGAATCCCTGCAATCCATAAACCTTCAAGCCCTAAACCCTCCAAACCCCAAAACCCTAAAACTTGAACCCATAGACCCCCCCCCATATCCCACATAAAACGAAGCTGCAGATCACCTGCATCGTCTCCTCCGACGCATCGAAGAAGAGCACAAACTTCACCCGCACCTCCGTCCCTAAGATTTTTCCACCTGTCACTATAGCACATTGTTGCATGTCATACTGCACGGAAGTATCTTACAGTATAACTTTGTACGTAATCCTGCATAGCCATAGCCTGCCAGAAAACCATGTTCTAGAAAAGAAGGTCCTCCGAAACAGCGCTCTGGCGGCTGCGACTTCTGAGGTGCCGGGCTGAGTTGCCGATCACCTTCTCCCAGCCTGCAGGTCGAAAATTCTCGCACTTTGGTACATGAGTTGCATGATTTTCACCGTGCAAGCATGCTGAAGAATGCACTTTTATGTGTATATGTATTGATGATGATGATGATGATGATGAGGATGATGATGATGATGGTGGTGCTGGTGCTGGTGCTGGCGCTGGCGCTGGCGCTGGCACTGGCGCTGCTGCCGCTGCCGCTACCGCTGCCGCTGCCGCTGCCGCTGCCGCTGCCGCTGCCGCTGCCGCCGCTGCTGGTGCTG